ACGCTAAACAAATTGATACCACCCGAAGTCCGATACAATGTAAATTTCAGTCTTGGATGTCGACCCCTAGAAGGAGGGAATGTTAAGAGCCTTTACGGATAAACACAAACACACAGTAACGTGTGAAAAGAAACTGCCATAATATGGACTGGAAACAAACAAATGTAATATTTTGAACTCAAGATAAGGAACTCTTGACAAGTTCGAAAAGTTACGTTCGTTTTCTATTCATACTATTAAGGTTTTTCTTTTTGCCTATAAGGATGATGAAATGTACTTGGTCTAGAATGCAGATGAATGGAGGCTGTTAACAAAGTGAAACCCCAGAATTTCGGTAAAAAGCTTGTTTTTACACGCTGTCTGTCGGTGTGACTATTTGTCAGTATGTATTTATACATGCATATGTACACACACACACACACACACACACACACACACACACACACACACACACACACACACACACACACACACACACACACACACACACTCTCTCTCTCTCTCTCTCTCTCTCTCTCTCTCTCTCTCTCACACACACACACACACACACACACACACACACACACACACACACACACACACACTCTCTCTCTCTCTCTCTCTCTCTCTCTCTCTCTCTCTCTCTCTCTCTCTCACACACACACACACACACACACACACACACACACACACACACACACACACACACACACACACACACACACACACACACACACACAAATGCATACATGCATACATACATACATACATACATACATACATACATACATACATACATACACACATACACACATACACATACACATACACATACACACACATACACACACAACTTAAACACACACACATATGCATATAGATATACATACATATATATGTACACACACACACACACACACACACACACACACACACACACACACACACACACACACACACACACACACACACACACACACACACACACACACACACACATTTGTATATTCATATTAACATTAATATATATATATATATATATATATATATATATATATATATATATATATATATATATATATATATATATATTAATGATCGAAAAGTGCGTGCACGCAACATTTTCGGTCTCTTTTTTGTTCTGGCGGTCGCCTCCCTGACCGGCCTCTACACTTACCTGCAAAGCCAACAGGCAGTCCCCGAGAGGATAGCATCAGGGCTTCCTCTTCCGCGACGCAAGAAGAAAGCCGCCACCTTTCTGACGCTGAGGAAACCCACGTTTCTGACGCTGAGGAGACCCACGTTTCTGACGCTGAGGAGACCCACGTTTCTAACGCTGAGGAGACCCACGTTTCTGACGCTGAGGAAACCCACGTTTCTGACGCTGAGGAAACCCACGTTTCTGACGCTGAGGAGACCCACGTTTCTGACGCTGAGGAGACCCACGTTTCTGACGCTGAGGAGACCCACGTTTCTGACGCTGAGGAAACCCACGTTTCTGACGCTGAGGAGACCCACGTTTCTGACGCTGAGGAGACCCACGTTTCTGACGCAGAGGAAACCCACGTTTCTGACGCTGAGGAAACCCACGTTTCTGACGCTGAGGAGACCCACGTTTCTGACGCTGAGGAGACCCACGTTTCTGACGCTGAGGAGACCCACGTTTCTGACGCTGAGGAGACCCACGTTTCTGACGCTGAGGAAACCCACGTTTCTGACGCTGAGGAGACCCACGTTTCTGACGCTGAGGAGACCCACGTTTCTGACGCTGAGGAAACCCACGTTTCTGACGCTGAGGAAACCCACGTTTCTGACGCTGAGGAGACCCACGTTTCTGACGCTGAGGAGACCCACGTTTCTGACGCTGAGGAAATCCACGTTTCTGGCGCTGAGGAAATCCACGTTTCTGTCGCTGAGGAAATCCACGTTTCTGTCGCTGAGGAAATCCACGTTTCTGACACTGAGGAAACCCACGTTTCTGACGCTGAGGAGACCCACGTTTCTGACGCTGAGGAGACCCACGTTTCTGACGTTGAGGAGACCCACGTTTCTGACGCTGAGGAAACCCACGTTTCTGACGCTGAGGAAACCCACGTTTCTGACGCTGAGGAGACCCACGTTTCTGACGCTGAGGAGACCCACGTTTCTGACGCTGAGGAGACCCACGTTTCTGACGCTGAGGAAACCCACGTTTCTGACGCTGAGGAAATCCACGTTTCTGTCGCTGAGGAAATCCACGTTTCTGTCGCTGAGGAAATCCACGTTTCTGACACTGAGGAAACCCACGTTTCTGACGCTGAGGAGACCCACGTTTCTGACGCTGAGGAGACCCACGTTTCTGACGCTGAGGAGACCCACGTTTCTGACGCTGAGGAGACCCACGTTTCTGACGCTGAGGAAACCCACGTTTCTGACGCTGAGGAGACCCACGTTTCTGACGCTGAGGAGACCCACGTTTCTGACGCTGAGGAGACCCACGTTTCTGACGCTGAGGAAACCCACGTTTCTGACGCTGAGGAGACCCACGTTTCTGATGCTGAGGAGACCCACGTTTCTGACGCTGAGGAAATCCACGTTTCTGACGCTGAGGAAATCCACGTTTCTGTCGCTGAGGAAATCCACGTTTCTGACACTGAGGAAACCCACGTTTCTGTCGCTGAGGAAATCCACGTTTCTGACACTGAGGAAACCCACGTTTCTGTCGCTGAGGAAACCCACGTTTCTGACGCTGAGGAAACCCACGTTTCTGTCGCTGAGGAAATCCACGTTTCTGACACTGAGGAAACCCACGTTTCTGACGCTGAGGAGACCCACGTTTCTGACGCTGAGGAGACCCACGTTTCTGACACTGAGGAAACCCACGTTTCTGACACTGAGGAAATCCACGTTTCTGACGCTGAGGAGACCCACGTTTCTGACGCTGAGGAGACCCACGTTTCTGACACTGAGGAAATCCACGTTTCTGGCGCTGAGGAAACCCACGTTTCTGTCGCTGAGGAAATCCACGTTTCTGACACTCAGGAAACACGTTTCTGTCGCTGAGGAAATCCACGTTTCTGACACTGAGGAAACCCACGTTTCTGTCGTTTAGGAAAACCACGTTTCTAACGCTGAGGAAAACCACGTTTCTGCCTCACCTGAAAAAGAAAGACTGCCGCGATAGCTCAGTGATTAGAGCACTGGACTCCGACCCTTGTGGTCCCGGGTTCAATTCCCCGTCGCGGCAGTCGTAAAAATGCCTGCGCTCTGACTGCTGGCTCGAGCCCGAGAAAACGACATATCGGCTTGAGAAGTCAAACGCAGGTGTCGTAGGGGAAGTCGCCGCCGTGGCACAAGCGTTAGCGCGCCGAACCGCGGTTGATTAGGAAGGGCATTCAATCAGGCAAGGGTGACACTGCCATATAACCTCTCAATACTGAATTGAGAGAGGCCTATGTCCTGCAGTGGAATGAGTGGCTGTTGAAAAAAAAAAAAAAAAAAAAAAAAAAAAAAAAAAAAAAAAAAAATATATATATATATATATATATATATATATATATATATATATATATATATATATATATTATATATTCGGCGTATATACATATATATATACTGCCGCGATAGCTCAGTGGTTAGAGCACTGGACTCCGACCCTCGTGGTCCCGGGTTCAATTCCCCGTCGCGGCAGGTGTAAAAAATGCCTACGCTCTGACTGCTAACTCGAGCCCGAGAAAACGACATATCAGCTTGAGAAGTCAAACGCAGGTGTCGTAGGGGAAGTCACCGCCGTGGCACAGGTGTTAACGCGCCGAACAACGGTTGATTAGGAAGGGCATTCAATCAGGCAAAGGTGACACTGCCATATAACCTCTCAGCAGTGAACTGAGAGAGGCCTATGTCCTGCAGTGGAATGAATGGCTGTTAAAAAAAAAAAAAAAAAAAAAAAAAAAAAAAAAAAAAAAAAAAAAAAAAAAAAAAAAATATATATATATATATATATATATATATATATATATATATATATATATATATATATATATATATATTTGTAGTTCAGCCGTGTGGCCTCGGGAGTCAATCCTGAGGACAATTCCGGAGCCGGAGTACCAGAGGCAGTTCGTTGTCGCTTGCGACCTCGTTCTGGCAATCCTGTGACGCCACTGGTGCCAAACCGTATCTCTCGCCGTTCCTTTGGAGAGAGGGAGCATGCTGCATGGGCAACAGTTTGCTCCTCACATTCTTTCCCCCATGCACTGACTCTACCTTCTTTCCCTGAAGTGTGCTGTCTCACACCACTGGAGAGGCACTCCAGCGACACTGCGCAGCGTCGACGCAACACGGAGAGTGGCACTTACCAGTTATAAACTACAATTAGTGTAAAAGCGTAGCGCGAGGCCCCTTCCTCACATTCTTTCGCCCAGGCGATAACACCAAAGTCGACATCGACTGATGGTGGCCGTTTATATATACATATACACACACACACACACACACACACACACACACACACACACACACACACACACACACACACACACACACACACATACACACACACACACACACACACACACACACACACACACACACACACACACACACACACACACACACACACACACACACACACACACACACACACAAACACACACACACACAACATGTATATATATATATATATATATATATATATATATATATATATATATATATATATATATATTTGTGTGTGTGTGTGTGTGTGTGTGTGTGTGTGTGTATGTGTGTGTGTGTGTGTGTGTGTATGTGTGTGTGGATTTGTGTGTGTGTGTGTGTGTGTATATATAT